TTAACTTTGGAGTTTCTAGGTGATGAGCTCTTGAAAAGAAGATACACCTTGTTAGTATGAGTAGTACTATCAATCCTTTTGAGCTCATAGGATTATAGACTGGCCCCACAAACCAACACAAGTCTTTCCCGCTTACTTTGTCCTCACTCGTGTGCGCCCAAGGAAACTTTCTAGGGGGTCACTAATCCTAGAATTGCTTCAGGTCAAGCACGCTTAACTTTGGAGTTTCTAGGTGATGAGCTCTTGAAAAGAAGATACACCTTGTTGGTATGAGTAGTACTATCAATCCTTTTGAACTCCTCGTTGCATCCTTTTTTTAAACCCTTAGATCTTCCCCGCTAGGTGAACTAAGTTCTTTTTGGCCTGTCACGGTCGCAGGGTTGCTCTGATACCAATTGTAACACCCCAGCCTCCACCCTGGCCGTAAGCGTCCGCTCATAGAATTGTATACTGGCCCCACAAACCAACACAAGTCTTTCCCGCACACTTTGTCCTCATTCGTGCGCGCCCAAGGAAACTTCCGAGGAGTCACCCATCATAGAATTGCTCTAGGTCAAGCACGTTTAACTTTGGAGTTTCTAGGTGATGAGCTCTCAAGAAGAAGATGCACCTTGTTGGTATGAGTAGTACTATGAATCCTTGTGAGCTCCTCCCTTTCCCATCTTAATACGGGGTATTAGAGGCATACAAAAAGGGCGCGACACGTGTTGAAATTCTAATTTTGAATCTCAAAATTCAAATACTTTAGGCGGGAAATTAAAAGCTTAAAATTTAAATTTCAGGCGCCAGATTCTAAATTTTCACTTCCTGCCCTTGATAAAATTACAAGGCCAGGAAGTGGGGGGCTTATTTATGGGTGTATTCCACCAAGGACCTGATCCAAAACTCGGGCCACAGAAACTGATTGGTCAAGTTGCAAACGTGATGGTTGTAATGGCCCAAAATATACCCTAGAATTATTAATGAATAAATAATCAATTAATCAAATTTGTTTTGACTAAAATAAATTATTTTTGGGCTTTGGGCCGATACGAAATTTGTTTTGACATCTAATATCAAAATCTGGATAAGTCACATAGAGATAAATCCAATATGTGGACTATTTGTGTGGTCTTGATTGGGAACCTGAGTACAGACCCAAATCAAGAGTAAATAAAGAATTTGTTTAGAATGTAAATATTGAAATGATTTGTTGAAATAAAACATGAGAATAATTGATATAAATTAAATGAGAGAACCTTTTATGAGAAAGGTCAATTAAACCAATTTTGATTGTGTTAAAGTCAAACACCCAAAAATGTGGTGTCGGAAAAAGTATAACGAATGAATATAAAAATTATATCGTTGTGTAGAGTTTGACTGTCTGACCCCAACGGTTCAATCGGATTTCAAATTGGAGAAAGTTGGACCAAAAAGTATACCCCGACTGGGACCAAATATTAGTCCCAATCAGGGACTATGTACCAAACGGCGCCCTGTTCAATTACGCCGATTCCAAAATCCGAATCACCGAGCAATCAAGGAAGCTGCAAACTCCCTGTCTTCTTCCTTCCTCACTTGGCTATTTAAGGACAACCCAACTCCCTCATTTCATCACCAAAACAACTCATTCTTCCTTCTATATTGTTCCTTGCTGAGAGTGGAGTGCAGTGGTGCTGTCATCTTTGTGTGAGGTCGCCGGAGCAGTGAGATAGAGTCGCCGGAAGTTTCGTCGGAAAATATTCAAAACCTTCATTTACCTTCGATGTAAGCCC